GGCGGTTGGTTTGTTAATCGGGTCGGTTATACGTCTGTTAAGAGTAAAACGCACAGTTTAATGTTAAACTCTGTTAATTATACAGTTTTTTTGCATATTATAAGATCCAAATCAAAAAAAGAAAAGTGTCTAACAAAATGATATCTATCATAGAACATTTTCCACCTGTAAAAACATTTCATAGCCTGCGTAGTTTTCAGTAAAACTAAAAGGCGTCGCGCAAGTATGTGGTATTTCTGCTTATACGCATAGCAATTTTTTGGATAAAAGGCGAAAATCATTTTTTTAGATATCATTTAAAGGACACAAAAATAGTACTTTTCATAAATTGGTTCTAAAAAATAAATTGACATTAGTAAATATTTCATAATTGTAATATAACTTGAGTGATACCACATTTTAGTGAATATTACGGGAATAAAGTCTGTTAATGGGTTGGACAATTAAAATTGTGTCAGTTAAGAGTTATTTAGGCACGACAATAGTTTTGCTACCTTTATATTTTCCCATTGAAAAAGTTAAGAATAAGATGTACTTGTGTAGAAAAAATGACAATACGGTACAACAGTATCCTTCTAGTAAGAGCATATTTATTTTGATTTTCTTTGGATGTTATTGAAGAATGTGTCTCTTCAATAGAGCGTGATATGGATTGGCCGCTGGAATATGCATGAATTTATTATTTACGTTATCAATCAGCCTTATTTTTTGTGTCTGTTCAAAGTCTGCAACATCTATGAATCTGTCATGTGTTGCAATGCAGCTGGTTAAATTTCATGCGTTTTCCGATATGCATTGTCTTTTCTACCTAGTCATCATTGTCATTTTCTGCCTTAGGAAATGTCTGTACCAAGTAAGGAATATGACCGTTGTTTTCCATTCGTTAGTAAGACATGGTTCTAAGGTGCTGATTAACTTTAATGTGTAACAAAAAGAATGTTTTATTTTCCTGGAAATCACAACAAATGCATAATATTGATTTTATTTTTCGAGTAATGATGTATTTCCATTGTAAGTTATTCAGCCGACTAGCAGTCCGCAAACGTGCTTGTTTTTGTATCGAGTGACCTTCAAGTTGGTGTAGTGAAAGGTTTGTTTATATTTGTATGAAATTATAAACATATGTCAGTCCATTTGATAAAAAAATTTAAAAATGAAGACTAAATTTTGTATATGTTACACATGGTATAATAATTTTAAATGTTTAATTTGAATATTCCGCGATGTTTAATCACTACAAAGTAACTACCAATTTTTTTCTTCATGCTAAAATTAAAAAAAAAACAGTTTACTAACTGATGTTTAGTTACATTTCGAAGTTTCGAAGTTTTTCTCTGATTTATATACTGGTTACGAATGTAGATGACAAATTGGTGTCATTCATGACAATAAAACAAAATCCATATGATATATGCGACCATTCTTGTATGAAATTAATATTACTTTAATGTTACACTTTTTGAAACCATTTTTATCAATTTTCCATTTCCATTGTATACATTTATGTTCCATTGTTCATGTGTTGTTTCCGTATATTTTAGCCACTCGTCTTGAGTCTACCCATTTGTTCCGATAACACCCTATATAGCAATCAAATTATACTTTTATTGCCATTCATAACTCTTAACAGACCAATTAACAGACCGAGTTTTATACATCCGACCCATTAACAGACCAGGTTTTTAATAAAAATTAATTTATGTCACCAAAATACAGATTTTCGTGTAGATTTTTCACATAATGATATTAATATGGTTGACAAACATAATGCCTGTCTTTTTGCGATGTTCAAAATATTGCATACAAGTAAATTCAACTAACTTGTCATTTTGTGTACATTTTGTGTGTGTAAAATGTGTATAAATTTATTGATGAGTAACCCGCCTTCTCATTTTATAGAACGTTTGTCGAAGCTAGAAAAAAAATAATTACACCGCTGGATTTAGTACACTGAATTGTATTGCCAGACATGAATATTTTTTAAGATAAAAATATATTTAAAAAGTTATACAATGAAACATATTGACCTTGCAATGATTTTCTCGATAACACCTGATTAACAGACTTTAGCCAACCCGATTAACAGACCAACCGCCCATATAGCGCACACTCAATATAGATTAACCGACCAATCTCTCGGTTAGCCGAGTGATGGCCGTGTAGTACTTATACATCTTTTACTTTAAATTTTTTTTGGTTCGAGGATAAATCCAGAAGAATAGACACACACAATTGATAAAGACTCATATTCAAGATTTTTGTTTACAAACTTCTAAGCATTCAAAATAATCCCTGTTATAATCAAATTTCCTAAATTAGTATGACGAAAGTTACTGTGTAGATGTTATTATGATTTTGTTTTATAAATTGTTCATTTAATTTTCTAATTTTGAGAAGATCTCATTACTTCTATAAGTAGAAGAAGAGGATGACAAATGGGTAATCTTAAATAATGATCCTAATGATCGAGCAAAACAGAAAGTGCAGATAAAACGCTTTGAAAATTCGAAGATATACTTGCATATGTATAGCAACAACATATTTAATACAGAACGAAATAAAATTTAACGTAAAATAAAGTTTCAAACAAAGCTTCATATTAGGTACGTCATCAGTAATTAAATTATGTTTGAAACAGTTTTATGAACTTGGTTATTCGTGCAATAAAAGCATGATAATTTGCATGAATATTGATATATATCATCCCTCATTGAATATATATTGCGCGCGCAAGATCGTGATAAAAATCTAATCGGGGCAATATTCACCAATATTCATGCAATAACCCTATATTACTGTAAGAATAATAAAAAAAACCCGTGCTACCGAAATTATTAAAAAATTAAAGGACACTTATTTGCCAATTTCTTTTCTTTTCTTTGTCATGTTATCCATGTAAAATTAAGGCAGTCTAATTATCTTATTCATAAAAAAGGTACTACATACATGACATAAAGAAAGTTTGACACAAGGTCAATCTTTCTAATCTTTTACCGTAACCCTTAACGATAAACTTGGAGTTATGGATTTTGAAAATATGTTTGTTTCCCCATGCTTGATATGTATGCTCTTCTGTATCTTTAAAGTTATTGTGTATTTATTCTTGAGATAACTTCTTTTACTTATGTGTGCCACACCATTCTCTCAATTTTGGGACAGTTTATTTGCTATAATTTCAATAAGACGCACACCTACTATTCTTGGCCCTCACTCCTATCCACGTTAAATTTTTCACTTCAACCCATTTTATGGAAGCGGGATCAATATGTATACCCGTATTTATACATCAGACCGTGCTGCACTGGTTACCGGAATTTTGGATACACCAAACCAGGCACTTCATATCTAATAAACAGGCTATATATGCCCTCAATTTTAGAATTCAATCGTACATTTTTGCATTATTCAAAATTATCAGTAAATTCTGTATTCTACAAGGATCACCAGTCCTTCACTTTTCATCTGATACCTTAATTACTAAAATATATGCTACAAAGTTTAAGATTTACACCTGTGCGTAGGAACTATTTTGTTTTAAATATGTACTACTTTCCAGTATGTTCTTTTTCGACCGGGTCTGATTAGGTGGTGTTACATCTCACAAAGTCTATCCAAATGTTTTTTTGTTGTACATTTACTGATTTTGTGTCATGGATGGATACCTCATATCCTTTGTTTTTCTATTGTTGTACTTACGAGACTTTTTCGGCATTTTTGACCTCGACTGATCAAGCCAACTTTTGTTACATATTTCCAAAATGTAAAACAACAAAAATACCGAACTCCAAGGAAAATTCAAGACGGAAAGTCCCTTAACAATTGGCAAAATCAAAAGCTCTGACACATCAAACGAATGGAAAAAAAACTTCATATTCCTGACTTGGTACAGGCATTTTCTTATGTAGAAAATGGTTGATTAAACCTGGTTTTAAAGCTAGCTAAACTTCTCAATTTCCAACAGAATCGACTAAAAAAAATCTGCATCACGCAAGGACCACGGCTGGTCCTTCGCCATTATTTAACACCGTTTTACAATCATATGTAATTTTCAACCAATTTGTAGAAACAACCATAAACATCATTCACATGTCAGTTAACACCTGTCATTGACAGTCATATGTATTAAGTTTGACAAATACTTTTTCACGGATTCTCGTTTGACGTTTTCTTCCAAAATATATTTATGACAGATTTACGACTTCATTTTAAATTGAGCTGCGTCAGATAGAAATCGACCGTTAGCAAGTGCACATGTACATGTTTAAGACTTTGATTGATTTTAGAACATTCAAATACGAAATTAAAGATGAATTTTGGTCTGTTTTATATGGTTCTTAAAACAACTCAATTTTCAACAGTTAATTACTTTGCATAAAGGTTTTTTCAACCCGAAATATGATAACGGATGTATTGATATTCTTTTGCATAAGGTCGATTTCTATCCGACTCAGGTCATATCATATAAATGACGCTTATAAATTGCATTTTTTTCCAAAATTCTCTGTAACCCCATGATTGATTGTCGGTTGCTTAACGTCCAGTCGTAAATATTTCACGAATGCTCAGGACGAGAACAAATCAACAATAATACAAAAGGTAGGTCCTGTAATATGGACCGTCCGGGATGAAGGTTTGGGAAATATGGACTGCCACTGGAAAATGAGGGAATATAAGACAGCAACTGATATTTCGCCTTGCAACAGGCCACCTACAGACCATCAAGGAGTTTTTTCAAGGGTTTTTAACGTGCAGAGAGGATGGCAATCTCTTTACACGAAGCATCAGATTTACGTGGCTGCTTCTTGAACATCCCACTCAGCCAAACAGACGCCTCACTTTGACAAGTGTGTTAATGCCGTTCGAAAGAAGACCAAAATGACCATAATTCTATTCCCAAGCTACTCTTGGGAGGTATGTAACCTCAATATCAAAACTACCGTGCAGTTAGTTCCTAAAATTTTGCAAAAAAGAGACTAAATTGTCATGTAAAAATTAAATACCTCGGAACTGAATGTGCACCAAGAAATGTTGACGATATTGTGATTGGAATTTCCTTGCTTGCTCTGTCAATGACCTTTAACATTTTAACCTCTGTGTCAACTTCTAATCCATATCCACTCTTACATTCTACTGTCGTGGTTCCTGTACTCATCATATTCAGTAATCTCTGTTTCAGACCTGTATAGAGCAGGTCTTCTGATGCAGCACGGGTGTGTTCGACTGTAAAGTTAATACCACCCCCTGCTTTATGGACATCCATGTATGTCGCACCTGCGAGCTACAATAAAAAAATATTTCTACCAATATTGTGTCAATAAAAAACAAGGAAAACACACATTCTCATCACGTAACTGGCATGACTTGTGTCTGTTCCATGCCTGGAGTCCGAACAATACTGTTTTGTAAATAAATCATGACGTTGGGTTTCTCGTTTGAAACTAACGTCCTGATTTGTGTACAAAACAATAAACGAAAATACACCAGTTTGCTAACCTTCAGAACTTGGAATTTAATGTAAAAAATGGGAAAAGTATAAATAGTTACCTTCATAGCAAACTCGTGTACTCTGTCACCAGCCCATACCGGATGAGTATGGGCATCCACTAGTCCTGAAAAATGTTATAAACAAATAAGATCAATTCAATGATACGTGATGTAACATTCTAATAAGAGCACAGATTTTAAAAAGAGTAACCTCAATAACAAATTTCATTATACGACATATATAAGTTGGACGGAAGGATTTAATAGCTGCGTCTGTTTGCATTAACCATTTCCGGTTAACTTTCAGTGTCAATACTTGGATGAAGAAACGAATGACAAACCCTGTAAGATAATACGTTTTTTTTTAATCATAATTCAAGAATTCTTCACGTGGTATATTACGACTAAAATTGATTTTATTATTCTAGTTTCTCAAAGTAAGTTGATCCCAAGAGTTCCTGGGTAAAGGGATATGGTGAACTTAGTTTTCCGATCGGCAGCAAAACCCTTGCCACAGTGGGTAGTCCGTTTTGGCTTTGCGGGATGTATAAATAAAAGGCCACGTCCCTGTCAGAATATGGACGTTAAATCAGATGCCCTGCGTTCAGTGAGTGTCGCGCTCTGTGTACATTTAAGAACCCTTGATTGATTATGTTATACTATGTGTCCAGTGACCAAAATTTTATGCATATATAGGACGAGAAAAATGAATTAAAAAAACCAATAAGTAGTGTTATCAAAGTTGTTGGAATTCCTGATGGTTATGGTTGATGTGTATCAATGAAATGCAGTAAGAAAATTCTGGATTTATGATGGATGTACATATAACGTAATCCAAACTTTTAGATTGGTACTTTGTGTCCGTCCCAAGTCAGAAGTCTTCAATTCAGTAGTTGGCATTGGTTGCTGTCTTTTATATTTGTTTTTCGTTTATGTTTAAACATGCCATTGGTTTTATTTTGATTTTTTAAATTGTTTTACATTTTGTTATATTGGGGCCTTTGATAGTTTCTAACTATATAGTATGGGTTTTGCTCATTGTAGAATGCCGTATGGTGGCATATACTTGCTTAAATCCAATATTGTAGTACTACATGTATGAGGTTTACATTTATGCTCACCTGGAATAACACACTTTCCTGTAGCGTCGATTTCCACATCAACAGTAAGGTTTTTATACTTTTCTTCAAACTTTGATTTTTTTCCCACAAACTCAATTTTTCCAGATCTATTCGAAATTAAAACTTCAGGTAAACTATGCTGAAATGTTAACCTATCATACTAAAAATATCATGTTAGCTTTTCTAAAATAAGTATTACCGATTAAATGAAAAAAGTAAATTCGGCATACATCAATGACACAGCAATCTAACGACACAAATAACACAAAGACATCTGCAGGTCAACGTAGTACCGTCTTCAACTATAGACATTTGTCAAATCGCCCAAGTTAAAAAAAAATGAATAAATCTTCATTTACTACGAATGTTACGTTTAGGAAGATAGGCAACAGATATAATTGTTGGCTGAATTAAGAAAAGACATCATCAAATCCTCACAAGAATTAAACATACATGGATTGTGGTTATTCACGTCCTTTTTAGTGCCTTTGGTTTTTGGTGGATAGTTGTCTCATTGGCAATTACACCACTTATCCTTATGTTTACTATAATGTCCAATATGCTTGATAATTCTCTTCCCAAGAAACATAGAACGTCATTTAATACAAGTAATTTATATTTATCATCCTTCCCTACGGCTATATCTGTTTCCTCAACGTATCCGTAAAACTCGTATCACGATAGCGCGTGCTCTGAGGAGACATTATCAACTTGAGGAGGAAATATCAACAAATTCTCCCAACATTTATTCCATCATTGTAATGATATCATGTCACTTACAAAGATGACTTGACCAAATAAATTACACTTGCATACCAATTTTTTCATTGTGCAATTTTTATGTTGCAAAATTTACCTTTTATGCTTGAATAAGCAATAGTAAAAACGTGTCCCACCGGATTCTTAATAACGTCTGCCGGGACTACTTTTTTTTTAAATTGAACTCTGTGACCTTACATGAACTCCTGAATATTTATGTAGTCTCAGACTTGATACAAACAACATTTTGATGCGATATTTCTGGATTTTTTGTTGTTCAGCGTATGCTTAGAAGTTGTTCAGCAGTCAGCGAGTAGAAATTTTCTTCGTCTGGTGATATGAAATACTTCGATCTTTCAATCTATCATTAAGCCTTGTTTCTTCTTTGTTTGTATTATCCTCAAATATTATACATCCATATATGCATTATCATGTACAAAAACATTTTTCTTCATGTAGTTAATGGGAATATTTTACCCTGCGTATTTTGACCGCAAGGTGTTCCGCGGTTTAATATGTCGATGACGTGTGTTGCCTAGTAATAACAGAGACTCTCCGGTAATAACAATTCCCGCGAAATTATTAAAAAAGGAAATTTTGATCAAAAACAATGCTTTGAAAGATGATAAAAATGTTATCTGAATGTGGATTGTATAGATATTGATAAATATCAGCCCGCTCGACAGAATATGAAGCTAAATGGCTCGTTCGCTACGCTCACTCGACATTTAGCTTCATATTATGGCTCGCGGGCTGATATTTTTCTATATCTATATATCCACAACCATATAACATGGACGTACACGCATCTTGAATGGGGGAAAAGAATTTGCTATATATAGAAAAACAAACGTAAGTTATCAATCTATTTGCATATGTAATATTTGTTGAAAGATAACGAACTATTACAAGACACACGTTGTGTGTGTGTTCCATATACATACTTGTTGATAAGAATATTGACGCCATCATTGTCATCCCCATCTATGACATCAAGTACTTGCATGTCTTTTCCACACACCACTTTGACGCCATTGTTGCGTACTGTGACAACTTGTTTAGCTGACCGAACTAATAATTTATACTGTGACATACTTAAAAGTGGACAAGATAAAATACGGTCAACAATTTTATCAGATATTATTCATGTTTATCTCTATACGTAAACGTGAATTGTTTATACATTAGGCGGGATCTTAATTATTAATTTAAAAGATACAGCATATTCTTCCCGCGATTATAATGCCAACAGACTAGCGTGTGCGTCGATTGGGATATAGAAACGCCAACGATTCGGCACAGGGTATATTTCTCTGAGAAATGACATGTTGACAATGGGATAGCTGAAATCGTCACGTTTGTCATAAATCATTGTTTGAAAGTGTCCATCTTTGTAAATCTTAAGAAAAGTTTTAGATATGAAGCAGGACTTCAAGTGTCGGTAGTATTCTTAAGATTAAGTTTACCGGGATGTATGAGATGCAAGCGCTCACTGAAATGTGGGCTATTGTGTGAAAGGACATTCTTGTTTAAGGTCACCTAAAATGAGGTGGCAGTCCAACTTTATACTAGTATCTCCTTTCATCCCGATGGACCTACTTTACAAAACTTTGTACATGTACTCCGACATGTCCACGTGGCTGTTCCAGATCAGGAACCACGTGAGTGTCGTTTAATTTGTCGTTTTGTAATGTAATTTTTCATTCAAGTTGAAAATAGGGTGTTATGAAGTATCTTTGATAGTTTTGTCTGATTTATTCAAAAATGAGGAGAACATTTAGCTTGAAATAGTGTATAGTTATTTATCTGTTGTAGAAGACTGTATGTGGAATCCTTTACATTTGTGTCATTGTGCTCATTGTGCTGACTTGCTGTGGCATTGACGTTGACTCATAATTCTCCCTTTCTTTAAACTTGTTAGATTTTTTCTTGAAATTAACTAGTCCGAGCTCGTCCACAATATTTATACAAAATCTGACATTGCACGTTAGGTAGACCGAAATTAATCAGTTCAAGAAGAGACTACACGTGTGTCATATGAAAAAAAAATCAACATGTTACCAATACCAGGTTTGGTATTAAACTTCCAGATTTTCTAAAGCTCACTTGGAAAACCGATGGTGAAAAAGCAGAACAAAAAAGAAGAAAATAAGAATCCAGTGAATAGCATCGAAAAGTATCATATTTACTCGCAATGTGGCAAACTTTTAATCTTAGAATATATTTTAAAGTGAAACACTGACCAATGCATGCAATTTACACAGCAAATCTCGTTTATACATATATGTTCGAACACTTTATTTGAGTCTTTATTGTATTGTAAAAACAAAGCACCATTACAATTCCTGGAAAATACGCGATAAAAAAATCCATGAAAATATGCATTTGCCATTATTTGTAAATCTCATTAAATGTCAACAGTGTTTTCTTTTTCTAGAACAAAATATTCCACATTTCTGTTTGGTTGTTTTATAGTATAGCCAGTTTCTCGCATATAGCGGTTTTCTCTATCATTACTATCCTTCTCAAGAATGAAGTACTCATTCCCAGTGATTTTCTTTTTATCCATGTCGGGTATCTTAACATCTACAGGAACAAAATAACCTGCCTGTTCTTCCGATAATCTGCCAGTTAGTTTTCTTCTTGGTAGTGGAATTGGCCTGTCAGCTTGTCTGTCAGACTTTGTTTTGCTTATATCTCTTTGGGCTGGTACTCTTGTGTTCGGATGAATTGCATCTCTCTCCAGTACGTAATAATTAGCATTCGTCATTTTTTCTGCATCTGTATTAGTGTCCATGTTATCACCACATATGTTGTAAATTGGAATTTGACTCTTTCTTTTATCCTGGCCGGAAGTTTGGTTAGGGCGAATCTCATCGTACACGATATCATGATCTAATGTTATGCTCTCCATGTAAGGTCTGTCTTCATCTGTCTGTAAAATATAAAAGTGTTGAAAATGCATACATTATATTCGTACATATAAATAAGATGTGGTATGAGTGCCAATGAGGCAACTATCCATTCAAGTCACAATGTGTAAAAAGTAAACAATTATAGGTCAAAGTACGGCCTTCAACATGGAGCCTTGACACACACACATTAGCAAGCCATAAATGGCTGCATGGAAAATATAAAGTGGCAGTTAGTGAAGTGAAATGCAAAAGTAAAGCTTGCAGAGCTTTTCAACCGTTTCCTAGCGAAAACAAATTTGACGTTGTTTGAAATTGTTCGTAACTATTAAGTATTCTGTATTCGAGCATATACAGCATTTTTTTTTTAAATTCCTAGACTTTATACTTTATGTTGTCATAGAAATCATCATTGCGGACGTACATTTGTATTACCCATTGACCTGCGATAGGATTAAGACACCATGAAACGTTATTCAAATGCATTTAAAGGAATTTCTCCTCTGATTTGTACATTCAATCTTATTTGACTTGTACAGTAAAATTGCTGATTGTAGGAGGAAATTTGAGAATTTCGAAGTTCTCGGTATATATGAAATGCACAAATTGACATAAATGAAGCTCTTGTAATTTTTATTTGATATGCTTTACATTGAACAATTTTTTGTTTTAATATAATGATATCGGAGATGATTGTATGATTGTTCATTACATGGATGGAACTTCTCTCTCATAAAGGCATACCCTTATACAACCCTGGCTACGCGATGAATCGACACGGAATTCTGTACACATCCGTTCCTACACTGGGAGTATGGTAACGTGAATAATTACCTTCGTCTTATTTTTCACTGCTGTCTTTTTACATCTTAACCTATAAATAAACAATAAAATTGAGAATGGAAATGGGGAATGTGTCAAAGAGACAACAACCCGACCATAGAGCAGATAACAGCCGAAGGCCACCAATGGGTCTTCAATACAGCGAGAAACTCCCGCACCCGGAGGCGTCTTTCAGCTGGCCCCTAAACAAATATGTATACTAGTTCAGTGATAATGGACGTCATACTAAACTCCAAATTATACACAGGAAATTAAAATTAAAAATGATAGAAGACTAACAAAGGCCAGAGGCTCCTGACTTGGGACAGTCGCAAAAATGCGGCGGGGTTAAACATGTTTTTTGAGATCTCACCCCCCCCCCCCCTATACCTCTAGCCAATGTAGAAAAAACAAATGCACAACAGTACGCACAGTAAAACTCAGTATAAGAGAAGTCCGAGTCCGATGTCAGAATAGGAAACAAAAAATAAACAAAATGACAATAACACATAAATAACAACAGACTACTAGCAGTTACTGACATGCCAGCTCCAGACCTCAATTAAACTGATTGAAAGATTATGTCTTCATCATATGAATATCAGGCATAATCCCTCCTGTTAGGGGTTTAGTATTATACCGTCATAAAATATATGAAAAGAACATAACCCGTGTCATGCCAACAACTGGTTTTAGAATAAATGTGTTTAATTCCGATGCAAAGACCCTATACGTGATTCAATATTAAAGCCAAAATATCCAATCTTTAATGACCTGACAACAGTATCGTAACTATATCCCTTCTTGATAAGTCTGTTTAAAGGTTTTGTTAGCTTTTGAGGTGAATACTGACATTTTTGTGCTTTGTAAAGAATATTATCATAAAAGATTGGATGTGAAATACCCGAACGTATAAGATGTCTGCATGATATCGAAAACCCTGGTGTAATAATTTTTCAGTAATTACATAAATTTCTCTCGCTAAAATCTAATACGTTGTTACATACACGAGCGAATCGTACAAGTTGAGATATATAAACACCATAAGATGGTGACAAGGGAACGTCACCATCTAAAAATGGATAATTAACGATATGAACATTTAACAACTTGTTTGGTTTGCTAGAATATGTTCTAATGAAGCTAAGTTTAATGAACGTCACATTAAATATACATGTATCAACAGATATCAAGTGAAAAAAGTAAAATCTATGGAAACGTCGAATACAACGTCCAGAATAAGTCAACTCCTAAAAATGAGCAATTAAAATATGTCACTAGCATCCATTTAAAAAAAATGTGCATGGTTATCATAGACTACGGTCAAATTGATTTAAAAAAATTGAAGAAATAGAACAAAACATTAGTTATTCAATATTTACGGATGTAAAGCTATGCATAGATAAAATTGAGAATGGAAATGGGGAATGTGTCAAAGAGACAACAACCCGACCATAGAACAGACAACAGCAGAAGGTCACCAACAGGTCTTCAATGCAGCGAGAAATTCCCGCACCCGGATGCGTCCTTCAGCTGGCCCCTAAACAAATATATATACTAGTTCAGTGATAATGAACGCCATACTAAACTCCAAATTGTACACAAGAAACTAAACTTAAAAATAATACAAGACTAACAAAGGCTAGAGGCTCCTGACTTGGGACAGGCGCAAAAATGAGGCGGGGTTAAACATGCATTTTTTTATACTCCTTATTACAGATTTCAGGTCGTTTGGAGGTCGGTTCAAACTACATTTTACTATAATTCAGTATGGATTCGAAGTTAGATTTGTGGAACTTTATAGTAAATTAGATAAGGAGAAATCTACAAAATAAGCGTGCGAAAAAAAGGTGAACAAACTGTGAACATAGGTATAGTATTTACAGATACCACATAGATCTACTTTTGATGCTTTCATAAAATTCAATAAAAATTTTCAGCCGTTATCAGCATCTTATCTGTAAATATACTTGTTTTCGTAAAATTAGAAATAAGACGGTATTTCTGATCATGCCTTTTGTTGTGATGATGTTAATAGAACTGAATCTCTGATCAATGTTATATCTTTTTTTATATAAACTCGAAATGATTTTTACATTTTTCAACAGCTAGGGCTGCAGGCATAACAAAATAATTAATTCAGTTAAACTAGTTGTTTAACGACGGTCCGACGATTTTAATTACTTTCTTGCTTTTCACATTAATATTACCTCCGATTTCAATTTTTATAATGAGACTTTATGAAACCAGTAAAAGTATTGCTTCTGATTCTGTGGCAGTATCCATCCAAACAGATATTGATACCTTAGCAAACTTCCTTTAGTAGCGACCAAATTCTGACTGCATGCTTTCCAAATTATATTTTTTTATTTTCAAGTTTAAGGTGGCTCACCCCAATAAGGACCCCCGGTAGAATTTTTTTATTTTCACATATTTTGTAGATTTTTTTATGCTGAATCCAAAAATGCAAAGAAAAATGGAGGCGAAATGTGCGATTTTGACCCTATTTCCAAACTTTTACACCCTTTCAACAATAACGACTACATCAAATTCAAATAACTTTTAGAACCATTGCGTCATTGGCAAAATATTTTCATATAGATACTAATACATCTAAAAGACATCTTTTGATATATTCAACCAGTATTTAAATGAAAATAGGGTGCGAACGGATCCAAGGGGCGAACGTGTAGAGTGAGAATGTGTTTTTGGAGCGAACGCACCAGATACCGTCGTACAACTACAAGTCAATATTTATATTTTCTTTTTTTTTAATGTTATGCTTTAATATATCATGTATAATTCTGTTCTTTTTATGTGAAAAATGAACAAACCACTCTGTAGTCCTGACCGTACGTATTTCCTGTTTTGTGGCTTTTGTAGAACGTTTTGCATGGTTTGTTGACATCGGGAAAGGGTGCTTTCATACACGCCCGCGTTTCAATGTCGTCAAAACTATTTTTGAGAAAACCCCTCAAAGCGACCGTTTCCAAGGCGCTCGTCGTTAGTAACATGCGTTTAAATATGCGCACTGTTAAAGGGCCGAGCCACCTTAAGTTAGTGCTCATTCAGCTGTACTGTGTATGTGTTTACGTTTAGCGACACATGGTCTTACGGTCATAAAACTTTCGAGTACGACATACTCAGAAATCAACCAATCAAAACACTGGATTTAGTGTTTCGAGGACAAATTTTGTACTCCGAGTACTGAGTAAAGTTTTATGACCGAGAACCATGGTCTTACTAGGTAAAGGAGGAGGATTGTGCGTACGTAAGAATGGTTCTGTACCAAGTCAGCCAAGCTGGACTATGAGTTTTTCTTTTTTGTTTGTCTTTATTTGAAGGTCTTTTTATGTATTATACTACGAATCTTCAAAACATTTCTATTCATTTTTCTTGCATTTTACAATCAATGCTTATTCCAAATAAAAAGACAGGAGCAAAGTCAGAATGGTTTCATATACCTCTTCCTGTTGTAAACTAGTAATATCACCGCTACCATGACTGCCAATATAACTAACGGAAGTACTATAATCAACCCTTTGGAACTGGTTGTAGCTTCCTGTTTGGTTGATAAAACTGTTGTTCTTCCTGAATAAAGTGGTGTTGTGCTACTTTTGTTCGTTACACTCTGTGTATTCTTTCTAGTTGGTCGTGGTGTCCTGTGCGTTGGTTTAAAGATGTTATTCCTCGACAGACATTGTAAGTTGTTATGGGATACTGTAACGAGGAAAAGGAAATATTTATCACTTGTAAAAACACTTATTTTGTACAGATATTACTTTTGATGCACTAGAAGATACGAATAAACAATTGGCCCGTCAATCATGAGCTATCCATGCATGTAGCATAGATAGATACCGTTGCTTTTTATTTTATATCGAGCCATCTGTGAAGATATCGGTATGTTGATAGAGCCATCCATGTATCCCTTCGTCTTAAACATGCATGAAATATTTGCCACTGGAAGTTTAGCAACCAACAATCAACCATGTAGATACCGGTACGTTAATTTAGCTATCCATGTAAATATTGGTACGCTAATCGATCTATCCAGATTATATAATCTTTGTGTATTTTGTTGTCGTCAGTGTTTTTCAATGAACTAACTTTGTTTATTAAGAAGAGTATCTCTGTGCTATTTTCATTCTATGATTTCTTTACATGTTCTGTTACCCTTGACATATATCAACAAGATTGATTTTTGCATCTTTTAAAACTTTATGACAAATTGAAATACAATCTTTCCTTTCAAGTTTTCTAGTAGAGAGCGTTATCGAACAAAGTTCTTTCAATTTAATTATTTGAAAGTAGAATTGTTTAAGCATCACTACACACCGAAATCTATTGAATTCAACAATAAAAATGACATTCCCAGATTATCTTCTTATATAATCGTTATTTGTAAAACGTTAGCCATCCTGATGTATTAAAATGGGAAGACAATATTAAATGCTTGTTGTCTTTATACTGATCTTTCAATCCTTAAGAGATCCAGAACATATCAATAAACGTACCTTGTTTACTGCAAACTCGAAATATTCCATTGCATCCACCATCAACCCATAAATAGTGTTGATCTTCGTCAATGTCATATCCAAACAGATCTTCCTCAATAAAACAATTTTGCTCGTGTATCACGCAGAAACAATCAATAGATTTGATATTTATAGGAATTATACAGTAACGTCTATCTTCTATACTCCAACATGACATATCAATGCACTGGTTATAATTTACCGCTGAAATAATTAATTTAAAGGTTCAGTGTAACAATAACTCATGAAGATAAAGGGTTTCATTGATCATGACCCTCGCTTACTCAGTCAGCTAGGGTATATAGGGATCGTCGAATACGATTAAAGTTTCAAAACATTTTTGTCGTCTAATGGTATTGTACATTTTAAAATTTCTTTAAACCAAATGATTTTTCAAATTCCAATAGCGAGGCATTAACTATGACATAGCAATCTGCATGTATAAGTGTCTTGTATTCACAACTCATCCTGAACAAATGACAAAATCTGAATGAAACCTTCATAAAATCTTTCCATGGGAAGGTCGGAATATGCAAGGCCAATCAAAGTTTCTGTAGATTTGTAGATTTCCGTTTGCATGAATTTATGCATTCTGGCAACGTTTATCAAGTTACTTACTTTTTATTCTAATTTTAGCATCGTTTCTTGTATCGCATATTTCATTGATTCTGATTCAAACAAGAAATTATCCAAAACTGACGTTATCAATTCTTGATTTTTTTTTTGTTGGCAACGTATTACGTTTTTAGGACAAGCACGCATTTTTAAACAAACACTTGGCATTCCCATTGGAATCAACTATGCTCATCCTTTACTCGACTTGTTCCTTCATTCATATGAGGCAGACTTTTTCATGACTTCTCGATCCGCTATATACGAGGCCCCTCATGGGGGTGTCCAAGTAATCACATAATCACATTTTTTTGCCAACATAATCGCATAATCATTAATTTAAAAAAAAATAAGATAATCAAAAATGCTATCTTAGATTATCAAATAATCAAATAATCATGAAATATTTGGCCTGGTAATCAAATAATCACAATAAAAAACGGCCAAGTAATCAAATAATAAAAAACCACACGAGGAGGCTCATATATATAAGGATGATGTCTTCTCACTTAATAATTTAATAAGTTTGGTGATTATGTTAAAGACATAATTCCATCGAACTTGAAATAAAAAAAATACCACAGATACAGTTGACAATTACTTTACGATTTCAGTTCCCAAGTTGTGAACTTCCCATTTCTATTTAGCAACATTCCAGCAGATCCTGCATATATCTGCCAGTTGATACGATATTCAACAGCTTGTTTCCGGCATATCATGATTCTTTTGATAGAAGGATCGATAATGCTGTCACGGATGTTATTAAACCAAGGCATACAGTAGAAGTCATCCCTTCGAACGTTTTATGAACGCCATCACGAGTTTGTTGACCGTTATGGCAGATCTGTATCACAGATGACCACATATATGTTCCAATTGTCGTGACCACAATTCTATTTTCTTTTCATGGACTGTAACATCACAGAAAGAGACTTATCGTTGAATTTGTACTTGGCGCCACAAGGGGGGGGGGGGGGGGGGGGGGGGGGCAGGAAATGCTTACTCTTCCGAAGCACTTGATTTAACCCCTGGCTTTTGTTTTTCAGTTTCTAGTTTCTACATGTATGTAGTGATTAGTGGACTTGTTTGTCTTTTCGTAGTTCTTCGTTTTTTGTCATATCTTCCGTCTCTTTTTCTTCCTCAAAAAGAGCCATTGCTTACTAGTTGCATTTTCAAATTCAACACTCATTGCAATACAAGTCAGCTGTAACAAGGTATGATTTGTGACAAAAAAAAAAAAAAAAACAAAACAAAGGATACTTATATACAATATAAATGTAAAAAAAAAGAAAGCATACATGATAAAGATACAACCACATGTATGTATAATAAGTGTTTATATTCAATTACGAGTCCCTTGCCTCAAGTATAATGGCTGAATTGGAACCAGTGGTCTCATCTCCCTTTGTACTTCACAACTGACATAACGATTTTCTCTTGGAGTTGTTGTATTTTTTTCCCTATCTAATTGAATAAAAGATAGGTTTCTATTTTATTTAGTTTTGTTTCAATGCGTATTACAAAAGAATTTAACAATAATATTAAACTTACGTTTGCAGCAAGGCTGTTGATCACATTTTTTAGCAGCCATCTTAAGTCACGTCTTAGCTATTGTTTTATCATATGTCGTTAAATTTTATGTACATTGTTTCACGACATCGTGTAAGGTGTATAACTATGATAAATATTTACTTGTTGTGACTCCTCATCTTTTCATGCTTCACTGCATTGTAAACAATGTGTTGGCCATTTATCTTTTGTAGTTAAAAAAAAATAATATTAGTCATTATCATACAGTATCTTAAGAAAATTCTTTAAAAAAAATGCTCTTCATGCATAGATGTATGAACTAGTCGCCGAAGAATCGGTTCATCTTTTATGTGTACCTTCCCTCATTGTATTTTAACGGGATGAACAAAATCTGTACACGGGAATTTATAATGTAATTAATCTTTTTTCATTATAAACCTTATAAACCTATTGCCATAAGGGTTGAGTGAACTAGATGTAATTGAAACAAACATTTATATTGGAAGACAAATATTAAAATCCTTCAGGCGAAAAATTCCTTTGTTATTTAGAGAAAAGGTGCTGTGAGAGAATTCCGGACATGCGACAAACTAAATATACTTTATTATCCAAGTAGAGGTAAATTCAGTAAAATATATTCGTCATTAAGGACCGCTCTTTTGGGAAGAAAGCTTTTTAGATAACACTGAAGTCCTGTGCTCAACTGATTGGAAGATAATGTTTGTAATAAAAAAAGTATATGTGTGAAAAGTAAAGGGGGCCAGTGAAGGGATTTAATGCGAATGTACAGTGTTTGTTAACAAAGCCATATAAACGCTCGAAACCGCACGAGCCTTTGTTTTGGTTGTTGCAAAAGTTGGGACTAAATTTGTTCTTTAAAGAATGAAAGGCTTTGATTTCTAAAAGGTAAACCAGGGATGAATTAAATTCCAAGAATAGGTATGAATTTAATTCCAGGAATAGGTATGAATTTAATTCCAGGGATACGTGTGAATTTAATTCAGGAATAGGTTTGAGGTATAAAATTAAATCAAGGAATAGGTTGGAATTTAATTCCAAGAATAGGTTTGCATTGAAGTGAATGGGATATTTGTTTTTTTTTTACTAAATCTAATTGATTGAAATATTAATTATTTTCGTCAACGGGAGACAATCCAATTAGAATTATGTTCGATCTCTCATTACGCAAAGTCGCAAGTAATGACTTCTTTATCAATAGAAATAAAGATTCTACCTATGCATCGAGTGTGATACGATATTTTCTCAATTTGACAGTTAAATTTTCAAATATTTACATAAAAGTTATGTAAAATTGAACGAAATATCGTATTGCACGACATTCCGCAGTCAGTGGTTAAGAAGATATGTAAGCAATTATTATCTTTCCTTTTTCAATAATCTACAAAAAAGATGTGTGTCTTCCTATGTGACGTCATGAGGCATAGTCGACTTTTTTCGTGCTGTCACAATTGTTGTCATTAGTGAGGATCGATTATAATATCAGTCAACCAGTCGTTTTGACCGCAACACAACTAGAGAAAAAAGAGAAAAAATCATATGTTTATTTAAACCTGCATTTTGGTATCACAGCTTTCGTTCTTGCAACATAGCAAATAGGTAAATTTACTGTACATTACTTTTAAAAACAAAAAATTGTGAGTTACCTTTTTCTTATATAAAATTATAAACTTTAGCCCAATGTTAACATTTTCCTTTCATGTTAAGGTGGCTGGGGTGTATTCCTCCATCTTGGATTTTGAAGTAGCAGATAACAATTGGTCTAGATTTTTTTTTAGAGTAGTATGTAATTCATGTTGTAAGACTTATCATGTCAATATAAAAAAAATATGTGTTTTATCATATTTACGGCTGTATTTTCTAAAAAAACACAATATTTTTGTTTGATAATTTTTTTTTCAGCTTTGCCACACAAGGGGAGATAACTCAGATAGTAGGGGAGATAACTCAGATAAAGTAATTTTCATAATAGAAAGTGTTGTGAATTTACCTATTTCAATATGTCGCTAGAAAACAAGTCCGGTGACCCCATTTTTTCTTTTTCTCATCTGAAAGCATGTTATAAGAGCTATCTTCTCACATTTTATCATAAAATTCTATGTTGTAGTTTTCTTTTTATCACACATAATTGGATTGTCTATGCATAATCTATACGAAATCTGACAATTTTGCACAACCCGTAGCGTGAAAAAAAGTCCGATGACCCATACTTTTTATTATATTTTGGAAAAAAAGCATGATAAAAACTACATTTTTACAAATTATTTTGAAAAATTCTATGGATTTTAATTAAAACCCCCCATCCTTCCTCCACCTAAAAAAAGATTGTGCCATAAGATCAATTTTTTTAAAAAAATTTAATAATAAATCTCACAAATAAATTGCCTAGACCGATAATTTCTTAACTATTTTAATCGAAAATAAGTTTAGAATCTTTATCTACAATAGTCGATGGTACGCCATATAGATCAACGGATGAGACTGTGTATGCAACAGTCATATTGTAAAACTAACTGTTACGTTACATGGATTTCATTAGCGACCACAAACGTGCGACATCATTGATTAACAATTTTTGGTTGTCTTATTTGCTGTGTTATTAGTTTGCGCCATGCTTGTTTAAAGTTTGTTATGAACTGAGCCAGTTTACTCGGGATTATGTCCCCCTTGTTATACCATATGTATTTACGTAACCTATATCAGTTATTCGGAACTATATTCACCTACAGTTGTTTGCCATGTATCAAGTATATTCGGAACAATCACTCTAACATTGCATGAAACGATTGACGAAAACACTACTGTCTTGAGTGCGCCTGATCCTCTGTTGTCTCATAATATCAATGGTACTGCTGTTGTGAGTTAGTCAGATCCTCTGGTGTCACATAATATCAATGGTACTGCTGTTGTCAGTGAGTCAGATCCTCTGGTGTCACATAATATCAATGGTACTGCTGTTGTGAGTGAGTCAGGTCCTCTCGTGTCACATAATATCAATGGTACTGCTGTTGTGAGTGAGTCAGATCCTCTGGTGTCATATAATATCAGTGATACTGCTGTTGTGAGTGAGTCAGATCCTCTGGTGTCACATAATATCAATGGTACTGCTGTTGTGAGTGAGTCAGATCCTCTGGTGTCACATAATATCAATGATACTGCTGTTGTGAGTGATCCTCTGGTGTTTCACACAGCCAGTAATTTGATACTTTGAATTCTATGGTGTATCAGGCTACACCAGAAAAAGAAGATAGAACAACTCTATCCGACATAGAGACATATCTGAGAAGAATATCATCGAAGATCTAAGGCAATTGTCTGGAGGCATTCACACTTTTTTATACTTAGTATAGATGACGATAGTGTTGAACCTGACATGTCAAGCAAGAAAAGGCAAATAAAGAAGCCAGCTTTATCAGTTGTTCAGAGGTTGTCGTTTGTTGATGTGGTTCATAAGTGTTTCTCGTTTTTTATATAGATTAGACCGTTTGTTTTCCTGGTTGAATTGTTTTACAATAGTCATTTTGGGCCCTTTATAGCTTGCTGTTCGGTGTGAGACAAGGCTCCGTGTTGAAGGCCGTACTTTGACCTATAATGGTTTATTTTTTACACATTGTGACTTAGATAGAGGTTTGTCTCATACCACATCTTCTTATTTTAATTAATAGTCAGATTAAATAGAAGATTTATGTGTTTATGAAATCGTTATGTTTGTGTAATATTGTAATATAGTCTTGTGTATTTTTGTTTTGCATTGTTCTATGTTGTATAATATTATATATTATAATTACTTTTTGCGTTACTGAATTTTTCCCTAATTTTTTCTTTGATTGTGTTATATATTATATGACGTTTTTCATTATGATTTTAATAAATTTCTATAGTATGTATGAGGATGATAATTTTGAACTTGACTATGAACCTTTCGACGACGAATTGCCAAAAGATGAGGAAAATTACGTCCGTGGTAGCACAAAGAGGAATGGTAAGGGAAGGAAGTGTCTGTAGTGGACGTTTTACTAATGTCAATAGACATGTATTAAGAACACATCTACCGTGGTTTGTGGCTACAGAGACAGCTTGTTTGCAATGCATTACAGTTTACACAACTTATTATATTAAATGCGCACATTTCAGTATGTCACCAGTCAATTGTTGATAAAGGAATTTGTAAATTTTATTTAATGAATGGTTAATTAGATGCCATTTCCAAGAAACTTGACATCAATTCACTTCAAGATCTCTGCCTTTTTGCTGACAAAAGTTATGTGTTTCAAAAACATTCAGAACCAATCTTCCAGGGAAATACAGTCTGACTTAACGAATCATCAACTATTCATTTTAAGTTGTTCACGAGCAAGTGTCTAGATATGGCTAGATTTAGACACGCTGTAAATCAAAGAGAAAATAACACCACATTTGTAACTAAATTCCAACTCTTCCTTAACTAAATGTAAAGATGCCACGAGTGGGTAAACATATTTACTCTCAGTTTAATCAAGAGGTACTGGTAAATGCTTTGGCAGCAGTTAGAGGGGGATGTCAATAAGACAAGCCTGCATCGATTTTGATGTGCCCCGATCTACATAACCGATCGAGTATCTGGCAATAACTCAATCGACACCCAACTTGGGAAAATAACGGTAATACTGAAAGAAGTGGAAACAGCAATGGTTAAAAATACCATGCAGTTGGCCGAACAAGGGTTTGGTATAAGTAGAAGGCAAAGGCTGGTAGAGCCGGTACAGTTTGTCGTTAGTTAAACCTTAAGAACAACTTTAAGAACGGGGTTCCCGGATTAGATCTGAGGAGGCGTGATCTAAAGTTAGTATTAAGGAAAACAGAAAAGCTGATCACAGTCAGATCCAGAATATTGAAGCCTCTAAAGGTTGGGAGATATTTCATCGACTTATATAGGGAGATAACCACAAACAAACTATCACCACCGGAGGTATGGAATAAGGATGAGGGAGCATCGTCCTAGTAAAGCCTTGGCAGCTGAGGGTACCAGAAGTGTCCCGGGAAGAACGGGTAATAGAAGGGAAGGTGTTACCGTTCTTCCGTATATTAACGCATGCGTCAGTGAAAATGGCATGAAAAAGTTGAATCGAGAAAATTTTTATTGTTTTCTGGGATTTATTGCAAACTACATACAGTAAAACAGGAAAAAATGTATTTGTTAGTGATAAAACATTTCTGGAA